AGAGTTTCTTGGATTGTTAGTCTGTTTTTAATAAGAGATTTTGAAAGGTTTTCTTTACCTTTTGTGTATTTTGTCTAGGAAACAAAGATTCTATGTCTCATGAAAATAATTTCCTGTGTTTCACTTTGTCTTTATCAGGTTTTTGATTGCTTAGGAAAATAATCTTTTCAACATTAAAAAGAGCTAAGGCATTTTTTTTTTTAAACAACTATGTACTTTCTATATTTGCTTCTGAAATCTTTTTGTTGCTTTGGTTGAATAGATAACTAAGTGTTTTTTCACAGTGACCTTTGATCCTATTTAAGCAAGTGGTGTTTTGTTTTGAGAGAAAAAAGAAAGGAGAAGGGAGAGAGGGAGAGAGAGAATGTTAAGCAGGCTCCATGCCCAGCGCAGAGCCGGACATGGGACTCTATTGCACAACACTGAGATTCTGACCTGAGCCAAAATCAAGAGTCCGAGACTGTGCCACTCAGGCACCCTAATCAAGTGACTGAAACCTTTTGACAGTTTTTACAAACTTCCCAAAATCAAATTCTAAACGAAGTCTTTTTGACTTCGAACTAACTTTGGGATATTCCCAAAGCTCCCTGGAAGATCTCAGGGTTTTTTTCTCTTCTTATAAAAACCGAGACGAGGCATTGAACTATAAATTTTTCAAATGTTATATTGCATGGGAAACATTATCAAGTAAAGGGAATGCTTAATCTTCTTAGTTTATATTTGTATGGATATGTTATTAATATAAGTGTGCCAGAAATTGCATAGAACTCCTAGGAATCTGATATGCCCTGGTATAATGTTATCAGTTATTTTTAAATGTTGTATACCACAGGAGTAGCCAAGCTTACCTGTCAACCACATCTTTTTTTTTTTTTAATAGTGAACTCTTTAACAAGGCTATCTTTAAGTCTTTTGTCATTCATAGACAGTTATTGTTTTATACTGAATTCTTCCATGAAAACATTTATAGTCAACTACAGGCCAAAATATTTTGTATTCAAGGAGATTCATGGAAAAGACACTGACAAGTACTCTAGAATACAAGTTTCTGATAACTTCAAGATCATACCACTTAACTAGGTAAGAATTTCTAGCATGCTATGGAGAAACTGATTCACAAAACTATTAACCCAAGAGTAAGAAAACAAGAATTCGGACTAAATCAACTAATGGAGATGATTATAATTTTTATGACATTGTTTGCAAAATTTATGGTTCTTTACTGTTTTACTCTCCAAATTTAAAGAACCCCTTTTCTCCTTTCAACCCATTATATAACTTATAACAATTTGGTAAACTTTTATAAACAAAAATTAAACATTTATTTTTTTCTCCCTACCTGATTTCTTCAGAACTCAAAACAAAAAAAACAACAACAACAACAACAAAAATCCCTTATTGAGTAGACTTATTTTCATGGCAATGTAGGTATTTGCATAAATTCAACAAGAATTTATTCTCTTTGTAACAGGATATAATTGGACAAGCCCTTGGTTTGGCTTGTTGGCCTAAAGAGGTGTTTAAACATCTTATCTGAGATTTCTTACCACCAGTTTTTAAGAAGCTAAGGTTTGATTTGTGAAGCCAATAAAACCCTTTGGATTACCAAAGCTTGGACTGGAATATCGTATTTGAAATTGTGTATAAAATCACTATTCTGCTGTACTTACATAAATAATAAGTTGAATTTAATGAAACGACTTATTTTGCAATTTTATTGTGATTATCTTTGTTAAAATGAAGGAACTATAGAGAAAAAAAATTGTATTTCAGTAGAAAACTATAGTATACCTATTATCAGATTCTAGTCCTGTTCATTACCTTTGAGGTTTTGTTATCTGTCTGTAAACTGGACTGGTCTTGAATTCTTCTAGTTTCCTCCAACATCTGGCTACAACTTTTCAAACTAACATTTCCAATTTTTTCTCACCATTCTGATTTGAAATAAAAACTAAAATTGTCCTTTAACCCAAGCTCTTCAACCTAAAGCCAGACAACTTGGTATAAACTTCAGAGATATCACCACAACAGATCATGTACAGACAACCTTCGTGCTTATTTCTATACAGGCCATTCAGAGAGTTCACCAGAACACCCAATGACATCATCAAAGTCATTCAAACTGCAAATCAGGAAAATCAAACAGATTGAAACTGCCATCCTCACTCCATTATCTAAAAAAGTTTTGAGCTCAAATCTAGAAATTTTCTCGACTGGCTGCTCTCCAGACTCAGAAACTGAATTTGTAATTTGCTCCAATGATTAATTTTTATCCTTGTTTTGTTTCCACAGAAATGCCTGATTGCTCACACTGTATAGAGGACCATCTTAGATGGAAGTCACCTGTAACACTCCCGAAATAAGACATCCTCATGTTTATCCTAAGTAATCATGATTCAAAAGTGTAAGGCTCTAAACAATATTAAAAAACTTATTTTCCACCAGGTCTAAGAAGCTTTCTGTGATGGATTCCAAATGAAGATATGAGAACTTAGAGAGTTACTTTATTGGAAAAGATAACAACAAAAGACTGCTTTTAAATTACCAAAGAGAGGGGCGCCTGGTGGCTCAGTGTGTTAAAGCCTCTGCCTTCCGCTCAGGTCATGATCTCAGGGTCCTGGGATGGAGCCCAGCATCAGGCTCTCTGCTCAGCAGGAAGCCTGCTTCCCCATCTCTCTCTCTCTGCCTGCCTCTCTGCCTACTTATGATCTCTGTCTGTCAAATAAATAAATAAAATCTTTAAAAAAAATTATAAATTTCCAAAGAGAAATCTTCTGCAAAATCCCTACAATCACAGCAAAAATCTATAAACTCTCTAGCCAGAATTATATTAGATAACTACACAGCCTTAGACACCCTAACCAGTTAACAAGGAGATGCATATGCTCTAACTGGTTAAAAAAAAAAAAATTCCATGTTAATAAATTAGGAATTATTACTCCCAATTTAAAAGATCTTAAAGATCAAATGTCGGTCTTTCATCAAATAGGTGATACTTCTTCCACCAATTTATTTAGTTGGTTAAATCTTGGCTCCTGGGAATCTCTGCTCCCAGGAATTCTTCAATCCTTATCAATTACTTCCCTCATAGTCATCATATTAACCTTGCTAGTAGTAGGAGTGCTGACAACACTGACTCCATCTTTGGCCCACCATTTTGTTTATGCTCATGCAATGATCTCCCACGGGGCTACATGTTCCAGGCCTCTTGGACGTTAATGTATGCCCTGACCAAAATACTACCCTCAAGTGGCACACAGAAGGCACACTTTAGATAAGGAGGAGAGATGACTGGTGCACAAAAGGCACCACTTTAGATAACCCGGTTTGACTGCACCATAAGCCCCTTGCTCTATAAAAGCTGTAGCTTAAGGTTTGGACTGGGTGGAGAATAGCTGCATAGCACCTGGACCCAATGGCTCCCTTGTCAGTAGGTCTCGTTGAATAAAAGTCTGTGTAAACAGTCTGGAGAGGCTTGTTTCATTTTTTGCCTTCCAAGGGCCTGCTAGGTCTAGAGGTTACTTTACAGTAACTCCCCCACCTTCTCACACTAGTGCACTGTCTCCTTTCAAGAGTTTTAACTGCCTTTCAGCAGCCACTCACACACCAAATGATATCCATCACGATTACACAACTCAAAGAACTCAATAATCCCACTGCCCATGCCTAAAATGACTATGCAACTGTTTATAATGGCAACTACATGACCATACAACCCAATGACTACATCAACAGTGGTAGCGAGAGTAATAGTATATTGGCTCACACTTTCAGCTCGCTGAGGGAACGACCAAAAGGGGGTAATTTTTTAGATAAAACAAAATGGAGACAACCCTAAAATCCCCCAAGCAGGGGCACCTGGGTGGCTCAGTGGGTTAAGGCCTCTGCCTTCGGCTCGGGTCATGATCCCAGGGTCCTGGGATCGAGCCCCGCATCGGGCTCTCTGCTCGGCGGGGAGCCTGCTTCTCCCTCTCTCTCTGACTGCCTCTCTGCCTGCTTGTGATCTCTGTCTGTCAAGTAAATAAATAAAATCTTAAAAAAAAAAAAAAAAGAAAGAAAATCCCCCAAGCAGATCAAACCAGTTAGATCACATAAGTGAAACATAATCTGGTTTATTTCATGAACATAAGTGAAACTTAACAAGTTATTTCTTGTAAATCCCTCTGATAATCATTAAAAAAAAAACTTAAATCATCTCCCTAAAATAATGTAAGATAATCACGTTTAACCAATCCCTCGCAGTTCTTTAAATTATGGTACCAATCGTTGTAATAACCAATCACTGTAAAGGTTAAACAAGCCTAGTCATTCCCCGTTTATAGGTCATCTTGCAAAGACATGCCTCTGAGATTCTCGTTTCTCCCTCACGAAAATATTTATTACCAAGTAAAGCTCCTTGACATTTGACACCAGGCATCCTTCTAAGGACTTTACATATGTAAAATTTATTCCTCACTACAACTCCAAGAGAGAGGTGTTACACTAATTTGATAGGTCAAGAACTCAGGCACGGAGGTTACGTTCCTCTCCATCGTCACACAGCTGGTGAATGGGACTGGAAGCTAAACCCTGTAATCGCAATCAAGCAATCGAGGAGCCGTGCTCCGTTGAAGAATCAGTACCTATCCCAGTAACAGGAACGGTGGAACTTTGCTGAAGGCTTCTGAGAGCCACATCTAGTATTTTGTTTTGATCTACCAAGGCTTTCAGCTCCCGTCAGAAACAGGCCACGGCCAGGAATTGCCTGGGCATCGAGTTGTCAAGGGTGACTGAGAGTTCGGACACCAATCTGGGGGCGCCCAGGGCGGACAGAGGGGCAAACCTGCCTAGCAGCCCACTTGGCACAACTGTCGTTGTTGAGGAGACAAGAAATCAGGAACTCAGAAACACCAGCAGGACCTTTTCAGAGGTCCAGAGGTGGGGAGGGGGCGGGGAGGGAGAGCAAGCACAGGGCTCCGCTAGGGCGGGGCGAAGGGGAGGCGGGGACCGGGTGGACTCACAGATCCAGAAGCTGACTGACCCGCCGCGAGCTAGGCATCGCGGCCGCCCAGGAGAGCCTCTTCCGTGGTCCCAGGGCCGCCCAAACGTAGCCAGAGACCGTCCGTCAACTCCTGCCCCCCGCGCGATGCGTAGGCCCTCGTGACGTCACACGGCTTCTTCCGGTGACCGGGACGCAGCCACGCTCCGGACTACAGAGGGAAAGAAGAGAAGGGAGGTGATAAAATGTAGAGTAGCCCTAAACTCGGTGAGGCACGACGGGAGTTGTAGTTTTTCCACCTCGCGGGCTCTGTTTACAGGCGGTTTCCCTGGAGTTCAAGCCCCGCGCGCAGCCTAACCCGGCACACCTCCAGCGGCGCTCTACATAGAAGCCGCTGCTTTTACTGTAGGGTTGTATTTGATGCTGGTCCATGCATTTGGCGTCTCCACATACTGGAGACTCCCTTGGAAGTGGACTCCATTAACGTGAAACGGAGCGTTTTAGAGCAACCAGGAGTGACCGCTGTTTACCGAGCATTTTCTCTGAAGCACGTACCTCAGTACGTGCTCTCAATTAACTACGTTCATTTAATCCTGTGAAGTCGGGATTATTTAGCCTTATTTTATAGATGAGGACACTACATGCCAGCAAAAAAGCTCAGTAAGAATTTCATCCTGGGGGAGGGGCATCTGTTCAAATCAGGATTCTAAAGAAGGGGCACCATTTCCCAGGTGGAACTGTTTCATTTTGGTTATGCCTCAGAGTACTGGCTATTTTTTGAGTTTTTCATTCTTCCTTGTGGATTAATTTGTTGTTTATGTGTTTCTCTTCCTTTTGTGAGCTGCTGAAAGTTGGAACCCAGTTTTGTTCATCTTCTCAGGATGCTGCTCACTCAGGCAATACACATAAATCAAGCACTGAAGGAGAGTGGAGATAGAGCTGGTGCTGAGGATTCAGTGGTGAACACATGCACCAGACCAGTAGTAGGACAATTAGAATAACTGTTAAATGTTTAGATGAGGGGGCACCTGGGTGGCTCAGTGGTTAAGCCTCTGCCTTCAGCTCAGGTCATGATCTCAGGGTCCTGGGATGGAGTCCCACATCGGGCTCTCTACTCTACAGGGAGCCTGCTTCCTCCTCTCTCTCTCTCTGCTTGCCTCTCTGCCCACTTGTGATCTCTCTCTGTCAAATAAATAAAATCTTTAAAAAAAAAAATGTTTAGATGAAGTTAATTCTATGCCAGCACCCAGGGAGGAGTAGGGGGAGCAGTTCACAGAAAGAACTGCGGGCTCTTAGGGACTGCAGACAGTTCAGGGAGGTGGCTGCAATGAGGGATGGTGAGAGATGAATGTAGAGCAGGAATTGGCAAACTTTTTCTATAAAGGGCCAGACAGTAAAGATTGTAGAGTTTTTTGGGCCATACTGCCTTGGTCACAGCTACTCAACTTGTAGCTCAAAAGAAGCCATAGGCAGTACGAATGAGTGGAGCTGTGTTCTAATAAAGTTTTATTAGGGACACTGAAGTTTGAATTTCATGTAGTTTTCACTATCATGAAATTTTATTTATATTTTGGTTTTTCAACCATTTAAAACTGAAAGCTTTACGTAGCAAAGTACAAAAACGGGCAGTGGGCTGGATTTGGCTGGCTGGTGGTATGCTCTCTTCTGACCAGAAAGCCAAAATGGGGCCTGATGAGCTACATTATGTTGAACAATTTAGGCTTAGTCTGGAGGACTCTGGGTGGAGTTATAGGTAGTTTTTAAGCAGGGACAGGGAATGCATAGGACAATGAGTTTTAGAAAGAACTCTGGCTGTGAAGTGTTAAAAGAACTCTAGAGGTCGCAGGTAGAGACTAGATAGGAGTACTTTGATGATAGCCTGAGCTGAAGTAGTAGCACTGGAATGGACAGATTCAAGAGGTAATGGAAGTTGAACTGATAGGATTTAGAGATTGGTGGGGATGAGGGAAAGTGAAGAGTTGAGACGAATTTTTAGGCTTTGGATTCTGAGAATTGGGTGGCATATGGTGATGCCATTTAAGCTGAGAGGATCACAGGAGTTTTTTGAAGAGAGGAGGAGAATATTTAAATGTTGGACATGTGGCTTTTGAAGTATCTATGGACAATAGAGGCATGGAACTATAAGTCTGCAAATTGTGCTAGTTTGCTTTTAAAGAAGAGATTGAATAGCAGTGAAAATACTTGCATTTACTTATTAATACAGTAATTTTTTTTTTTTTTTGAAGAATCCTCTGCTGTTCTGAGAGCCATATGGAATATCAGGGGAAAGATTGACAGAGCAGATGAGGGTAGGACTGTTGGGTCCATTATCAAAGGAACAAGACTGAGACAAAGTGAAAGTTATGCAAAGCCTTATTCTATGCCAGGCATTAGAAGTTAGACTGACCAGCCAGGGGAACGAGGTTGAGACAAAGTGAAAGTTATGTAAAGCTTTATTCTATGCCAATCATTCGAAGTCAGACTGACCGGCCAGGGCCGCCTCCGAAGAGAGCAACTACCCCTTGGTCTTACAGGCTAGTTTTATAGGGCACAACCGCAGACATCTACATATGTGGCTTTGGCTGATTGGATGTCTTCTACCTGTGTGTTTTAGTAATGGTTACCCGGAACCGATACTAGTAACTGCTGTGGCGTTTATTAAACAACAAAATGGCCTTGTTTTAGGTATGTGTTTCAGCAACGGTTACCTGGAACCGGTATCAGTAACAGCTGAGGCATTTATTAAACAACAAAATGGCTACCTAGGCAGCATGGAGTCACTATGGCTAAGTAGGCCCAAGCAGGTCCTAGGGGTTTAACAGGTTTTAACGTTAAATTGGCCCTAACAGGACTTCATGGTCCTTCCTATCTGTTGAGTCTGCACAACTGTCCATCTGGGTCTTCCCACTGATTACTTGCTTCTTCAAGACTAGGAAAATACAGGCCGTTGCCCATTATTATGAGATGTTCAGGGTGCCATAATTCTTCTCATTAGTCAAAGGAAGTCATCACAGCTGGGTTTTTTTTTTTTCTTTTAAGAAAATAATTATATAATGAGGTAAGATGACAAAGTCCTAGTTATTTCTAGCCAATTATCTTATTTTTTTTAATTTTTGTGTATTTTTTAAGATTTTATTCATTTATTTGACAGAGTGAGAGCACAAGCAGGCAGAGTGAGAGGGAGAAACAGGCTCTCTGCTTAGCAGAGAGCCTGAAATGGGGCTCAATCCCAGGGTTCTGGAATCACGACATAAGCTGAAGACAGCCCCTTAACTGACTGAGGGGCACCCAGGTGCCCCTTTAGCCAATTATTTTAAAGGTCAAAGATGCATACATGGTATCACAATTCTTAGAACTTTTCTTTTTTCTTCAAAGGTTTATTTATTTATTTTAGAGAGTGAATGGATCAGATGTACCTTGAGTGAGAACAACAAGTCCTTGGAGAGGTAGCTGAGAATAGCAATTGACGGGAGATGGACCCTGAGAAGGAACAGCCAAAGAGGTAGAGAAAAAAATAGTGGAGTGCTACAGGAGATAAACATGACCCAAATTGTCACATGCTGAAGAGAAATCAAGTGAGATAACACTTAAAGGTGGTTTAGCCAGAAGAAGGTCATCAACGCTCTTCGAGGTGGTGATGGAGGATGTAGTCTGATTCTAATGGGAGGAATGAATGGTAAGTAAGGAAATGAACACACAAGTAGCCCAACTCTCATTTACCATATGTACTTATTCACATGACTTGATGCTTCTATTAAGACTCATGCTGAGAAAAGGAGATTGTAAAAGGGTATAGCTCTACTTTATAGAAGGTAAAGTGGAATAACTCAGAACCGTTATTTATGGACCTTCTAGGTGTAAAACATATGATTACATGATCTCATGTAGTCATCAATCAAGTCTGAGCTATGCTATTTTATAGATGACAGTGAGTGAGTAAGACCTAAGTAAGTAGGTCTGTCAGACTCCAAAGACAATGCTGTTTCTACTTTATTTGAGTGCTCAGGAGAGAGGTTTATGGTACATCTAAGATCATCAGTATAACTCACAAAGCCCCTTTTCAGAAAGTTACTAGGTTTTTCAAGATGGTAAAGCAGAACATTAAACCAAGGTAGGAACCTGTACAACTGCACCAGTGGTCCACCCATGAAGCTGGCCTTGGTATATGCAGGAATTCCCAAGGAAATCCTATTACTACTACTACTACTACTTCTACTGACTATTCAATAACTCTTTGTTAAAATAAGATACAGAGACAAATGTGAACACAGGGAAACTTTTAAAAAAAACAAACTGAAGTACAGTTGACATAGTATATAAGTTTCCAGTGTACAATATGGTGTTTCAACAGTTATATTCATTATGAAATGCTCACCATGATGAAGTTAAGTTACCATCAGTCACCATACTGAGTCATTATAATATAACCGACTATATTCCCTATACAGTACTTTTCATCCCTGTGGCTTATTTCTTTTACAACTGCAGGTTTATACCTCTTTATCCCCTTTACCTGTGTTGCCTTTTCAGAAAACATTTTCACTAGCAGTTCAGAAGTAGTGGCTCATCCCATGGAAGAGGAGGAATTTATGGCTCTGATGATATGGCAGATATTTATAGCTCAGATATGGCAGCTGACCATTTAGATTGGATAAGAATAAGATGTTCCTGTCTTTTAGTAAGGAAAACAGGATGTTCTTATTTTTGTGGCTTATCTCATGAGGCAAAGCTTTCAGGATTTCCTGTTAGTCAATGCTTTTAGGAGGTTCCTGTTATTCATGGTTTATCTTGGAATGCAAGGTTATTGAAGTCTTTTCTGGTGCATGGTAAGTGATTTGTGGACAGCACTAGGCTAAGAGCAAGATGTCATGTTCCCATTCTCCCCTTTTTGCTTGCTGTGCCCACTTTATTGTAGTTTCCTTTAGCTCAGAACTTCCTCCATTTTCTGTCCTAGCTACCATATAAAGAAAACTTATGGTTTGTTTTTCTGGGCAGGTTATATAGGAATAATAAGCACCATTAGTTACCTTAAATCCTGCTATTTATTCCTAGTGTGTTTGTGTACATGTAGAAAAATACATAATAAGTGTCTACAGATATGCGCATATATATACACACACAGTTGACCCTTGAACAACATGGGTTTGAGATGTGCAGGTCTACTTATATGGAATTTCTTTTTGTACAGTACTGCAAATGTAT